CACGCACACTGTCCTTCAAGGACTTTAGGGGCAGTGGTGCGCCGGATTTCCATGGGGCTAAGGACCCCATCGCAGCCAGGAGATGGATTGCAGACATTGAGTCTGCACAGTTGACGAGCTTCTGCCCTGAGGGATCGAAGGTGCGATACGCTGCAGGTTGTTTAAGAGATAGGGCCAGAGATTGGTGGGAGTCGGTTGGTGACTCGTTGGGAGCCTCGGCTATTGAGGCTATGACTTGGTCGGACTTTATGACCAGGTTCAGGGCTGAGTTTGCGCCAGCTATGGAGCTTCAACAGTTGGCCAGGGATTTCCTTGATATGAGGCAGATGACAGAGACGGTGGCGGAGATTACAGCCAAATTCCGGGAGCTGAACAAGGTAACGGTGAAGAACCGTTACCCACTTCCGAGGATAGATGACTTGTTCGACCAGCTTCAGGGAGCATCTTGGTTTTCCAAGATAGACTTGCGGTCAGGCTACCATCAGATGAGAGTCAGAGATGAGGATATACAGAAGACTGCTTTCCGGACTCGCTATGGCCACTACGAGTTCGTGGTGATGCCCTTCGGGCTCACCAATGCTCCTGCCGCATTCATGGACCTCATGAACCGCGTGTGTAGACCGATGCTGGATCGGTCTGTGATAGTTTTCATTGATGACATCTTGGTTTACTCCAAGACGCAGGAGCTGGATGAGGAGCACCTGCGAGAGGTGTTGGATACCCTGAGGAGGGAGAGCTTGTATGCCAAGTTCTCCAAGTGCGAGTTCTGGTTGCGCGAGGTGCAGTTTCTTGGGCACCTTGTCAACCAGAACGGGATATTGGTTGACCCAGCCAAAGTGGAGGCCGTGATGAAATGGGAGGTTCCGAAGTCTCCATCCGAGATTCGGAGTTTCCTCGGATTGGCAGACTATTATAGGAGATTCATTCAGGATTTCTCCAAGATAGCCGTACCTTTGACCCGGCTGACGAAGAAAGCCGTTGTTTTTCGCTGGGGGCCTGAGCAGCAGGCGGCATTCGAGACATTGAGACAGAGACTATGCGAGGCGCTGATCCTCGCCCTGCCAGAGGGCGTGGAGGATTTTGTAGTATACTGTGATGCGTCCATCTCAGGTTTGGGCGCAGTACTGATGCAGCGAGGGCATGTCATCACCTACGCCTCGAGGCAGCTGAAGCCTCATTAGGCGAACTACCCGACGCATGATTTGGAGTTGGGGCGGTCGTCTTCGCCCTCAAGATTTGGCGACACTACCTCTATGGGATCCGTTGTGCCATCTACACGGACCATAAGAGTTTGAGGTACCTCATGGATCAGCCGAACCTGAACATGAGGCAGCGTCGATGGTTAGACGTGGTGAAGGATTATGATTGTGAGATCCTTTACCACCCGGGGAAGGCCAATGTCATGGCCGATGCTTTTTTCTGCAAGGCAGCGCCGATCAGGGACATCTGCATGAGGATGACCGTGGTGACTCCGCTTTTGGAGCAGATCCGAGAGGCCCAGCTGGAGGCCATGAAGGAGGAACATCGGAAGAGCGAGCGTATTGTGGGACAGGTTTCCTCCTTCGACTACGACAGCCGATGATTATTGACTCTACATCGTAGGGTATGGGTTCCCTACCATGGGGGTGTGCTCCAGGTTCTGATGGAGGAGGCGCACAAATCCCGATTCTCGATTCATCCCGGGGCAACGAAGATGTACAGAGATCTTCGACCCGATTACTGGTGGCCCTGCAAGAAGCGGGACGTCGCCTGGTATGTAGAACGGTGCTTGACCTGCAGGAAGGTCAAGGCCGAGCACCAGAGGCCACACGGCAAGATGCAGCCGCTGGACATTCCCATGTGAAAATGGGAAGATATTACTATGGATTTCATCACCAAGCTTCTCAGGACTGCACGGGGAGTGGATTCGATTTGGGTCATTGTGGATCGGTTGACCAAGAGTGCCCACTTTATACCGATCCAGGAGAGCATCTCGGCCGAGAAGTTGGCTGATATCTACATCCGAGAGGTAGTGGCTCGGCACGGAGTGCCAGTTTCGGTGATCTCGGACCGAGACGTGCGGTTTACTTCCAGGTTCTGGAAGAAGTTTCATGACGAGTTGGGAACTCGTCTACACTTCAGCACATCGTTCCACCCGCAGACGGATGGTCAGAGTGAGTGGACCATCCAGACTTTGGAGGATATGTTGCGGGCATGCGTTCTAGACTTCGGTGGTAGCTGGGATACCTATCTTCCATTAGCTGAGTTCTCTTACACCAACAGCTATCACGCGAGTATCGATCGTCCTCCCTTCGAGATGTTGTACGGGAGGAAGTGCAGGACCCCGATATGTTGGGGCGAAGTCGGACAGAGGGTCATGGGGAGCACCGAGGTGGTGCTCAAGACGACAGAGAGGATTCAGCAGGTTAGAAGTAGGCTACAGACTGCTCAGAGTCGGCAGAAAAGTTACGCCGACAAGCGCCGATCAGACTTGGAGTTGCAGGTCGGGGATATGGTCCTCCTAAAGGTGTCACCTTGGAAAGGCGTCATCCGATTCCGGAAGCGGGGCAAGTTGGGCCCCAGGTACATTGGACCTTTCAGGGTTGTAGCACGGGTGGGCAAAGTGGCGTATAGGTTGGACTTGCCAGCAGAACTCAGTCAGATTCATAGCATGTTTCACGTCTCCCAGTTACGGAAGTGTCTGGTGGACGACTCGGCGGTGGTACCCTTGGAGGATATTCAGGTGGATGACAGCCTGAATTACATCGAGCGGCCAATGGCGATCCTCGACAGGAAGTCGAAGGACCTGAGGAACAAGAGGGTGGAGCTGGTGAAGGTGCAATGGCAGCACCGCAGGGGATCGGAATGGACTTGGGAGTTGGAGGAAGAGATGAGAGAGCACTACCCCGAGCTTTTTCCAGATTCAGCAGCAGACTTCGAGGACGAAGTCTAAAATAAGTGGGGGAGATTTGTAGCACCCGATTCCTGGTATGTATTTTATTCAAGAATTGTATGTATTTTCTCTGGGACTCGACGAGTTGATGGCCCAACTCGTCGAGTAGAGACGGGGTCCGCGGGAAGTTTAAGTGACCTACTCGACGAGTTGCTTTGACCCATGTCTTTTTCCTAGAGTATACCTTGAGGTTTTGATAAGTCGACCACCCTCCTCTGCCGGTGGATGCATAGTGTTGAGAGACAACAGTCGGCGTGGGTCCCCTTCACCGACAGGTAGCCTCTTTTCTCCTTGTATTGGGTATTTAAGATTTGTGGTCAAATTAAGTGTTTATTAATCAAACGATTTGTTGTGTTGCTTGTTATTCTAATGAAATTTCATTTTCTCTTTGTATTGAGTATTTAACATGTATGGCTAGTTATTCTAAAGAAATCCATGTGAAATGAGTAAGAATCGTCGAACAAAATCCATACCATTAAAAGAGAAATGTGAATAGATAATTAAAAAAAACATTAATGTAATAAATGGAGATTTCAAAGGCAACTTGCTTACCTTTCTTTTTTTGTGTAAAAACATTTTTTGTTGTTAGTTTATTAGGTTGCTGCCATTGTTTTCCACAATCAATTTAGAAATTTGCAAGATAATCAATTAAAGCTTTAATTATTAATTAAAAGATAAAAAAAATGATTGCACAATAACTACTAGTTATTACAATTTATGATGTGTTGCTATTAGTTTGATTTGATTATGTGAAAATATTAGGTTTTTGATTTGATTATGTGAAAATATTAGGTTTTTTATTTGCTTATGTGAAAACTTAATTTATGTTTGATTATATAGGACCTATTTTGTTTGGTAACTTTTATGATTAACAAATCAATACTTACCATTTGACTTGTTTTAGGATAATGTCTAACAAGTGTTTGTTGAAATGCCTGAAAGACAATCTAAAGAATTTAACCATGTGCATTCTGTTAAAATTAGTACCAACACGTGTTTTATGTAATTTTATATTCTCATAGAATGAATAGATTCATTCTATGAGAATATAAAATTACATAAAATATGTGTTGCTAGTAATTCTGACAGGGTACATTTATACATGCTTTAAAATGTTTATGCATATAGAAGGAAAAGACTATGATTTAAGTGCATTATGTAATGTCTATTAGAATTTATTTATATAAATGCATTCTGTTAGAATGTCTTTTGAGAATGTTTGTTAACAACAAGTATATTTGTTTAACTAGTGATACTAACAACTAATGTATCCTATTCTTTCAGGATTGCATGGAAAAGAAATTCAATATTGATCATACAAGAGAAATATTTTGAATCGAGTTCAACAAATATATATATGCGAAAATCAAGTGGATTATATGGACTACTGAAGAAGATCAAGTGTATTTGTTCAATAATTGTATATTCAAGAATGCTATTTTTTAAGAATTTTATTCATTTTTAATGATATTATGTTAGAATATATATATAACTATATTAAACTTTATAAGGATATTAGTCTGTAAGAATATGTATAAATTTGTATTTTATTTCGGATGTGCATTAAGAATAAAATCATAGACCCAACTTGGATGTATATGAATAATATCTAAAATTCTTAAATCAAATATATGCATTGGAAATATATTCTGCAAGAATAAAATCGAAAATATATTTACTAGTTTATGGTTGGCATTCTGTCATTTTGACAGAATAAAATCGGATTTTTAAATTGGAATTAATTTAAAATATTCAAATTTTTTAAAATAAAAGAGATAATTATCCCTAAAAATCCGAAAATTTCCTTTTTTAATATAGGTTAATTGACTAAAATGTCCTTATGCTGAAATTTGTGTGGTTATATGGTATATGTTACCCTATTGTAATATCATAGACCCTCAGATCATTTACCTTTGATTATATTTCATCCGGTTGTCCAGATCTATACATTCTGGCACACAATAGTTAGTAAAAATAAAATAACCTAAGCCTATATATATATATATATATATATATATATATATATATGAAAATAAACGAGCAAAAGCAACAGGAACGGAAAACAATATAAATCAATAAGAAATATAATTCGTATACTAATAAAAATATATAAATAATGGTTATGAGACTTAAATCTATATTATATCGATTCCTATCGACTCCAAATTTTTCCTCATATACCTTTGACAATAAAGGAGGTATATATCTAGATCCATATATTCAATATATGTAGACAAATGTTACAACATTAACAACATACGAATACTTAAAAAAGACAAAAACCAAATCAATAACTTATAACATAATTTACGCATCATTGGACTCGGTAAAGAACTCACGCGCCTCATCGTACCGGTCAAAAACTATGTTATAAAGAGGGTTAATTGGTTCCAGGAGATTAGAATACGGACCCAACACAAAGCCCGGCAAAGGTTCAGAATCAGCATCTTTGGGCCACCGAAACTGGGCTGCAGAAAGCCCACTAAGACAATAACAAGTGTGATAGTGGTCCCTACTCTTCCCCGGTTTATCCCTAAACCCTCCCTCCACCTACACATATCATCAACAAATATAATGCTTAACTGCAGAGTTCTAATGGGATCTGGTGCACTCAGAGTTTTATATTGGTATCTGCATCCTTATAAGGAATGTTCTCTGTTCCCCCATCAAACTTAGGACACTGGCACACTCGACCAGTGCCATGGCTCTGATACCATTTGAGATTTGTAAAGATGAAAACTTGAAGGTACCTGTGAGCACAAAAGGATATATTGCTGCAAAGCATGGCTCTGGAAAAGATCCTCCGCTTCACCAACACTGGCTGCATGTAATCTTTGTATCAACACAGCAGCTCCTCCCTGGTCATACGTTACTATAATTATGAAAACTGATTTATATAACCTTTAAAACATGTGCAAATGAACAGAAAAATAAATATTTTAAAACCTGCCAGAAGGAATAGCAACCATCAACCAATTTATTTGTCCTGCCCTGGAAACCACCTTCCACTCCTTGTCTGAAAACCAACCAATCCTGGTTCAAAAGGTGATATAAGTAATTAAGTATTACATCACAAAATGGGTGATTTAATATTTTTATTTATGTTGCATGAGATGAGAGAATTAGATTTGGCTTACAGTTAAATTAGGTAAGTCCAAACGGTTAACTTCGTTGATCAAAATCATTGCAGCCAACCCACAAAAAGTGTACCTAAAGATCAATGATTTTGGGTTGTGAGGGGAAAAAATGTAAAATTGATTGGCAAACTGTTAGATCCAGCAGTTGTGATTATGAAACATACCCACCATGAGCTTCTGACCCTGGTTCACCAGCAATGCCACCTTCATAGGTCTGGCAGCTGAAAAATATTAGTCCGTATAAAACTTGTTAGTTTTAAACGGCTGCAAATAGAAAAAAGATGAATGAAAGATTTAAAAAGATTATAGCTTTAACAAAAAAAATGAGTTGAAAAGGACCAACCTTAAGATGTAATCTCCCACACCTAGAATAAGTTCTTTGTCTAAGATACTTAGAGCACTTGCAACCTAACAGAAAGTGCAAGTATCAAGTATCAAGTATTATATATATATATATATATATATATATATATATATATATATATATAGAGAGAGAGAGAGAGAGAGAGAGATGTTGGCTTACAGAAATGGCAGTGTAACAAGCACGAACATCAACTTCTCCACCATCATGCATACTGAATGAATGAAAATTCAGACAGTTTATTAATTGGATACACAAAATTATGTTTGAAAGAACTTGAATCTATGAATAACTAGTATAGTATTATGCCACACCTGAAGCCTCCACTTGTATGTTTCATTCTGCGCAAAAATGAGTAGATCTTGCCTCTGTAAATAAAAAGCAGTTGCATCAAATGCCAAAAGAATGTCATAAAACAAAAATTCAGACTTGAATCTTATAGGTTTTATAACTAAATTGAGCTATATTATGCCACAAAACAACCACCTGTTAATTGATGACAAAGCTTTATGACCACCTAAGGTGATAAGTGAATTAACAGCAGCATAAGTTGTTGCAAGATGTGGCATCTGTCAAAAGTAGAAAATGTGAGCAGCTTTCAAATCAAAATATGAACTACAATAATTGCTTCAATAAAGAAGCTACAATTTTAATCAGTCAATTATCATCATCAAAAGGTAACTTGCCTGCCCAGGTCCTCCACCATATCCACCATGTTGATCCTGAAAGAATTACAGTACAACATTTTGCAATTAATAAGCTTATACACTCCTGATAGAATGAATTATGTATAAGGCAATGTTCATGAAAACTCAGTTTGCAAACAGAAGCCATGATCAGGACTCCGCAAAATGACACAGTTAAAGTTGTCACACCTGGCACCGTCTCAAAAAGTCAATGGCATTACTCTCCAAATCCTCATCAACACAATCTCCCAGTAAAGCGATTGAATGAAGGATCCAGTAGCAAATCCATGGCCGACTGAAAAGAAGCAATTCTGTGAATAAGTGAAGATATAAGAAAGAATTACTGCTGTTATCATATATATATATATATATATATATATATATATATATATATATATATATATATATATATATATATATATATATATATATATAAGTATAATGCTTTTTCATTAATTTAAGCATCATCGTAGTACAACGAGTGAGATGGCGGGCAATAAGCTGCGCGAAAAGGTTAAGAATGATATGATTAGATACATTCAAAGTGGATCATCAAAACTGATAGCTATAAATTAATGTCTGTCAATAGACTGAAAGCATCACTAATGGTTAATAATATCTGATCATTTAAACCATCATTGCCACTAGTAAAGAGATACCCCAAGTCAATTCGATCAAAAGAAATGTCTGTGTGTGTGTGAGTGAGAGAGAGAGAGAGAGAGAGAGAGAGAGATACTTGGCATCCAAGACTGAAAACGAGGGACCGAGTTGCCGAAGACCTTTCATAAGGTACTCGATGTGATTATCCCGTTGAAGCTCTAACCTTTGCACGGATCCAATACTTCAATAAGTCAATTAACCAAGACAGAGGATGTACAGAGTATTAGGGTTTATGCGGGCTTACATCACTGCTTGGGATTTGGGTGGAATCTTACAGAAGAGTTGATAGATACGAAAAACATGATGTTCAAGTGCCCACTGCTCTTCCTGGCTTGCTGTTGCCTTCCACTCCGCCGACGACGATGACGAAGGCTCCATACAGGTCATACAGCGCACTCCGTTTATTGCTAGCAAATTACACTCCGCCCTAACCAGTGCAACACTAATAACTTTGTATAAGTAAAATACTTTTTCTTATATAATGTTTTGTACCAACTCCTAAGGTTCTAAATACTTAAATCGTTCTAAATACTTAAATCGTTTTTTTGCAAGATTAGATCCTAAGATCGGATCCATATCACATAAAATAAAATAAAGGGAAATTAAAAGTCCTAAATTTTTAGTCCAATTTATGAAAAAATCATAAACTAAATTTTGTTTACAGACAAAAGCACAAAATACCGGTTAAAACTTCGAAAAAACCATTTTCGGTCGGTTTCACAGATTTTGCCGGTATTTTGTCATTTTTCGTTAGTTTGCTCAAAATTTTGGGACTTTTCCAAAAATTACATAATAACCAAAATATTAGGACTTTTTTGAAAATTACCATAAAATTAAAGTATAATTATTAACAAATCATTTATAAACATAAAAAATATTTTTATTATAAAAAAAGGAAATATATTTGTTGCTAATTTCTAGGAATAAATTGGTGGTCTAAGTACTTCTCTATTGCTTCCTGACCACTCAAACTTTCTACGTTCTTCCTATGCATTGTTGTGGGTATGATGGTGAGATGTACTTAGTTAGCATTCATCTAATGTTGGTGTTCCTCTTATGTTGTTTAACCTAACTACCAACCAGCATTCATACCTCACATGTTAACAACCATCGGCTAACACACGTCTATAAAATGTGAAAAGTGAACCGTAAATGATAATTTATATGGAAACAAGTGAAGGGTGATTATCTATTTAAATTGTCGTTCAAAGTTTACTTTTCACTCTCGATAGATGTTTGGAGGTTAGGTGGTAGTTAGATTAAAGAACATAATGAAAGATCTGTATGTTTGTGTAATGATATTTTCTAATAACATGTGATCATATAGCATCATGCCTAATAGCAAGTAGACACTTATTGATTGTGTATTAATAAATATTATCAACTCTTGTATTTGTCACGCTTAACAGAGTACTTCTCACTATGACACCCACAACGATACATAGGAAGAACAAAGAGACTTTGAAGTGGTCAACAAACAATAGAGAAGTACATAGTCGACCATTCTATTCCCTAGCAACAAATGTATTTCCTTTGTTTATAATAAAAAATATTTTTTTGTTTATAAATGATTTGTTAATAATAATATCCATTATTTCATAGTAATTTTCAAAAAAGTCATAATATTTTGGTTATCGGGTAATTTTCAGAAAAAAATCCTAATATTTTGAGCAAACTAACGAAAAATGACAGAATACCAGCTAAATCTACGAAACCGGCCAAAAAGGGTTTTTTCGAAGTTTTAGCCGGTATTCTGTGTTTTTCTGTAAACAAAAATTAGTTTGAGACTTTTTCATAAATTAGACTAAAATTTTAGGGCTTTTCTGGATATTTCCCTAAAATAAAACATAATTTTAATTTATAATGTTAAAACATGAAAAATATTTCAAACATTCAATTATTCGTTCAAAAGTGATAAAAACTTCAAAATATTAGTCATAAGTCACAACACAAAATGATAAACGGTGAGTTGGTAAAGACTAAAAGACATAAAGTAGTAAAAAAACCAAGGGAATGTAGGATCGGATCGAATTACGATCCTATGATCCTACCTACGATCTTACGATCCTACCCTAAATACGATCTGTTTAAGATCCGGCTCGTTTTTCATACCTAGGATCGTAGGATCCTACGATCCTACGATCAGGATCGTGATTTTGATAAACATGTTTTTTACGTTATTTACTATTAAATTATTTTTACACGATTCACATTTAAATTACAGATAAAATTGCAAAAATGGTTCATGTGGTATGTATTGTTTATGAAGTTTAGTCCAAACCTCAACTTTTTTTGGTTGCATGATCATTTTAAGCTAGTTTCATTGCGGATTTGATTCATTTCGTAAACTAAATGACATTAATGCATGTGGGTATTTATTGTCTATTTTTAAATTCATTCTTTTAAAGTTTAATAATTAAAAAAATGAGAGGGTCTTCTCTCTCTCTCTCTCTGTGTGTGTGTGTGTGTGAGAGATGAATGAGATGAATATATTTTCTTCATTTATCTTCCAGAAACAAAAATTCAAGCTCATTTTTTAACACACACATAAAAAAAATAATAAAAAAAAAACTAATCTATCTCTACTCTCCCACCGATGTTCAAACTTATGAAGAGCATAATTCTGAGCTTTAGAACACCTATGAAAATAAAGATCTGAACAGAAACATGTTAAATGTAATCAAAATTTTCTAGGTTTTTGGGTGCTTTTATCTAAACATGAAGATGAACAAAAAAATCTGATGAATAAACAAACCTTAAACCCCCTTTATGTTCGTAACAAATCGAGACTCAAACTCGATTTTAGGAACTCAATTACAAACTTCAAGAACTAAATGATTTTCAAGTTGTAAAAATTACCCTAACCAGGAAAATTGGATCTGGTGGTTAGCTAGTGGGATCGGCTAGGACGATATCACCTTCAACGAGACGTTTCATCTTCAAGAATCAACCCCCCCCCCCACCCAGATTTTTTGTTGCCATCTCGTGACCTTTCCTCGGTTATCAGACTCCACACCAGACCCATTTCGAAAGGAAACCACACACCATACCCATTTGGAAGTTAACCGCTTCCAGATCCTTTTTATGCTTTTGGATAATCGATATGTCAAGAAGAGCAGGAATTTAAACAAGAACCTCCAATCATGTATGTTATCTCTTCAATTCTTTTCCTTTTTGCTTGTTGATTTCTATTTTTGTTTCTGCTAAATTTTGAAACTTCCGACAGCTGCAAGGTATGCTGAGAATTTTAACGCCACATCTGGTAAGTTTCACATGATGATTGGACGTAGGGTAGGTGGACTAGAGATACCGATTAGGAGGGGGAAGTGTCTGTTGAAGTTAATCAAGAGGAATAGATAGGTAGTGTGTGGTGGAGATGGATCTCAGATGCTCTATGTGTTCATGAATTCGCGATGAGAGAGAGGTGGTGAAGTGTAGGTTCATGACAGTAGGCAGCCATGGATTAAGGTTCAGTTTACCGTTGACCAAATCTGCAATGAAACTAGCTCAAAAGGACCATGAACCCAAAAAAGTCAAGGTTTGTACTAAACCTTAGAAAAAATGCATACCACGGGGGCATTTTTACAATTTTGTCTAAATTATATTTTGATCATCTTTTTGTTGGGAATTTCATCCACTCCCATCACCATCGTCCACCTTTTATCGCCAGCATTTACCTCCAACAACAAACACCATTTTCCATCACCATCATTCGTTATCATAGCTACCCATTTCCATCATTCATTGCGACTACCAAGTAAGTACTCTAAAATCAACTTCAATCTGCAGCAAAATCGACTCAAACTTACATTCAAACCTAAAAAGTGATCAAACATTCAATCAATTCAAACTCGGATTCCAGCAACAAAATTGCATCCTAGAACAACAGACATAGTTACCAGTGGCGCATGATTCAAGAAGAAAGGGGTGAGAGAGGGATATGGGGTAACGTGGTTTACACAGAGTAGTAGGAGAAGGAGAGGGGTATGGAAGAGAGTAAGCGACAACATAATAACGAGTGTGGAGATGTTTTCACTAAAGAAGAGAAGGATGAGACGATGCTATTTGCAGCGTTCTTAAAAATGAACATGTAACATTGTAACTCCCGGTTTTTTAGGTAAATTTCTTATTTATTAAGTGTTTATTTATTTTGCATGGAGACCAAGTACGTTGGGAGTAAATGCGTACCTCGAAGGATGTTGGACACGGGGTTAACCCGTTGGTACGTTGGGCGTACGTGAGCCATGGGCAAACCCTAAAATTTAGGGTTTTCATCCAATTTAAACACCTTATGCCCCAAGGTTTTCTCATTATCAGCCTTCGTTGTCCCTATAAGTATTATCTCGAAACCTTAACCCATTTCTAGAGAGAATTGATCCTTGTATGTGTTTTGGTGTGTCTTTTGGTGTATCTTGAAGAAGAAGAAGAAGCTTGGTGAAGGAGCATTGATGAAGCAGGATCTTGTAGATCAAACGTTTATTCCTCTTTCTCAGCTTCCTAGAGGTATAAAGTCTTGACCTTGGTTATTCTATGCTTAGATCTAGAACTAGTTGAGATTTTAGCATATTTTGGTCCCATGAATGAGTTCTTGTGAGTAAATGTTACTCCAGAAGTTATGAGATGTTCCTTTTGATGTTTTTGAGGTTCTTAGTTCATAAAGTTTGCATCTTGATGATTGTAGATCAACCACGCATGCGTTAATGATCATTTGGTGGAAGTAGAATGTTGAATCTAGGGTTTGAGTCTCTTTGATCCATGAAAAGGCATCAAGTTGGTGACTTTCTCATTTAAGACTTCCCCCAAGAGCTAGATCTGCAAAATGGATGTTTGGACTTAAAGCATTAAGTGCTTAATGGCGTTTTGGCAATTTGGGACGTACGCTGAACGTACGTGCCTGAGTCCCCGATTTCTTTTGGCCAAAGCTAGTACGTAGGGCGTACTGGTAGTACGCGGGACGAGAGGAGACGGAGCTGGGACGAGTGGAGCGAACATTGATGAAGAAGATGATTAGATTATCTTTTAGTTTATTTAGTTTTATTTTTATTTGGTTTTATTTTGTTTTTGGTTTTTTTGGGATTGTAAGACTTTTAAATTGGTTATGTTCTTGTTTACTTCTTTGGTTATTATTTTCAGATTTTGCTAGAGAAAACATGGGAAAGGATGTCGAGATATGAGTGCGAACACGTTTAGCCAAGAGTTTAGAGTCGAGAGTCGAGACCTACAATCCAAAATAAGTGTGGGGTGCGTCAAGAGAGAAGATAGAGTTAGAGAAAAGAGTAAAAAATAATAGAGTTAGAAGAGTCTTAATCCATTAAGACATTGGGTTGAGTGCAAGAATTGAAAGAAGAATTGGAGGACATTTATTTTTGAGATTCCAGTTCCCACGACGTGAACGTGTCTTACTCACGTCGTGAGTCAGCTATTGATGATTTTCCAGAATTTGCTTAAACGCGACCTCACGTCGTGAGTC